TATAAATAATATTGGTCCAATAAATAAAAATACTAGTTCTGAATTATTGTCACATGTTGTTAGAACAAGTCAGAGTCAAAAGGTCGTATTTGATGAGCAGATTGCAAGAATGATTTTTTGCAACAAATTCATCATTTCAATAAGTTGAACATCTAGAATTCCAAAAACTTATGTCAATGTTGAGGCCAGGCTATTGTGGCACAACAAGAAAGGACGCAGCTGACAAACTCCTAACAATAGTGTTTGATAAAGAAAAGGATAACATTAAAAACGCTCTAAATGGAGAGATTGTAAATATAACACTGGATGGTTGGTCAAACGTTCATAAGGAGCCTAAAATTTGTGTTACAGTTACAACTGAAACAAGTGATGTCTATTTAGCTGACACAATTGACACATCTGGAAGCTTGCACACTTCTGAATATCTTGAAGAACTAGCATTTTTATCAATTAAAAATATAGAGCTTGAATTTGGGTGTCATGTAGGATGTATTGTTACTGACAATGCAGTTAATGTATCAAAAATGAGGCATAATATTAAATCTCGATCAGATATTGATGTAGTTACATATGGTTGCTCTGCACATTTAATGAATTTGTTAGCACATGACCTAGAAATTGACAATGTTAAAGATCATATAGTAAATATTGTCAAATATTTTAAGAACCACCATTTTGCTTCGGCAGAATATAGAAAAGCTGGTGGATAAAAGTTTGTATTGCTTCAAGATACTCGCTGGAATTCCATGTGTGGCTGTCTAAAAGTGTATTTAGCAAATTGGTCAACTTTGCTAAAAATCTGTGAGTCTAATCAAGTCATAATTGACACTACAGTGCAACAAAATGTCTCTAACTTCTAAGTCATTAAGAGATCTGCAGAAGATCTACTTGCTTGCTTAGAACCTATTGTTTTTACACTTGATAAAGCACAAAGTGACAAATGCAAAATAGCAGATGTAGTGGAAGTATGGAAAAATCTAGAAAACAAACTTTTATGTAAAAGTGAGAAAGTTATCCAAAAGAAGTTCAAAAAAGATAGGACAAGGCAGTGACACCATCCCATCTTCTGGCTAATCTTCTTTACCCTCATTACCGAGGTAGAATGTTGAATGAAATTGAAAAAAATACTACTTTAGAATATGCCAATCTACCCACATATTATTAATACAGTTATGAAATTTAGAGGAAAGTCATACCCATTCCTGGAATTTTAATTTAAATTAAAGGTTTTAACAGCATTATCGTCTTTTCAGTTGTGGAGATCACACTGCGATAACATTGAAAGTAAAACATCAAATACAATTTTGCAATTAATGACTGCGATAGCTTTATCTGCAGGAATTGAACGTGTGTTCTCCTCTTACGGCTTGGTATATTCAAAACTGAGAAATAGATTGGTTACAGAAAAAGCTGCTAAGCTTGTGTTTCTCTTCAAGGCAATTAACGAGCAGAAAACTATTCAATTTGATGTTGATGATTAATTTTAATGCTGCACATATGAGAAATTTTTTTAGTTTTAATTGATAATTATGTTTATTGATTTGTTTTATGTACTACAGCATTACCTGTTTCATTTATTTTTATTGTATACTTTGAGTCATTAGTTCTATAAATACATAGTTCTGCTACATTTAATTAGTTTTGTTTTGAAATATGACAAAAATAGTTTTTAAATAAATTTTTATTATTCAAAAATCAAACATAAAAAAAAAACTTGATTTAAGTCATTAGTCATCAAAAAAAATCTTTTGATTTAAATTGGCCTACCCTGTTGCCAGGAACATCTGCATCTGTAGAGCGTATTTTTTAATCATGAAAAATATTTGCTCAGATGACCAAGGTCTTTTGAAGTAGTTCATGGTACGTGCATTACTGTACTGCAAGTTGAGCTTTAGCATTACATGTTCACTTTTTTATAAAAAACTGACAAGTACTGAAAAGTATAACTCGTATAAAAGTGAATGGTTTTTTTCTCATATTTTTTTTGTTAGATTTAACAAATAATACAAAAATGTTTTGGTGTTGTTTCTTTGCTTTAGTCCCTTTAGCAGGTGAGCAATGGAGCTCTTCCTTTTATATATAAAGACTTTTATAAAACCTAATTACAGGGTGCCATGTTTTTTAAAGCACAAATAAATACTATTTTTCTCTCCCTCCTATCTCTCTGGTCATTTATTTTAGCATTTTGCAGCACCTTGCTCCCCCTCCCCCCTCCCTCCTTCCCCCCCACACAACACATACACCAATACCTCTTTCTAAACAACCCCACCCTTATGCCGCCGCAACCCCTGCATGTTCCGGTTTGCAATTTCAAAATTATGGTAAGCCTATATATATATATATATATATATATATATATATATATATATATATATATATATATATATATATATATATATATAATTAATTTTTTGGCAAGATTAAATAAAAAAAACTACAAAATTTTTACTACTAAAAGTTTCATGCGTTTTGCAATCGTTAAGTAAAAAATACATGATGATTGCAAAACACATGAAACTTTCAGTAATAAAAATTATGTAGTTATTTTTATTTAATCTCGCCAAAAAATTAATTATATAGCTCTGATAACATTCATCAAGCTGAAATATACACACAGCAAAATTAAATTTATTTATATTATATGGTTTTCTTGAGAACAGTTTTTGCTCTAACTCAAACTCTTAGTCGATGGTACTCCCCTTGATTACTTGCTAAACCTCATACATCATTTAAAAAAACCTTTTTTTTTTTTTTTTTTTTTGGCCTCTCAAAAGAACCAGAATTGTATAGAGGTTTTAGAAATTTTTGTTCAAGTTTAAATATAAATAATACAAAAGAAACAATATACAGTAGCATACTACAATATACAATAGCATACTATAGTATACAGTAGCATACTGTATCACATTATTACAAAATATGAATACAAATAAGTAACCAATTCTACTCTGAATATTTTTTTTGCTCTAACTGTAACATACTGAAAGTTTTATTAATAGACTATGTTAATAAGTTTTTGTTCATAAGCTATGTCACCTTTATCATAAAATTTAAGTAGTTGTTATACCATTAATGTTTTAAAAGTTATGTGTCCATGAAAATAGCGTTTTACACTCAACAAACTTATTGTGTCAACTTTTTTTATTTGTTTTAATTATTTTAGATTGCTCAGGTCTTGTAGTTTTCTTTCATTTTATGAAGTGTTATCCGTCTCTAAAAAGTTTTGATATAAAACCAGACATTGATGTTTTTATATCAAAAAGATTGTTTAATATAACAGAAGACATTTCACGAGTAGTGTATTACTTAAAAAAGTTGTATTAATTAAGTGTGAATCAAGTAAATTTTCGATCAACAATTCATAATACTTATAATAAATTAAATCATTATTGACTTATTAAATTCTTTTTTTCAACGATGTTTAACACCATTTATTAATAATCTAAATTTCTTGCTTAAGATTTTTCTCAAGAACTGCTTTCTTATATCAAATGGCAGATCTTATATCAAATGGCAGACATGTTTATTTTCAATAAATTTGCAATATCTTTATTAATTCTTTTCAAATTTAGCAGTAACATTTTATTAAAGGTATTCTCTCTCCTATAAATGTTTAAAGAACATTTACCAGAATTTTTTAGAATATGCCTTGATGCAAAGACTTGTTTACTTTAGACACTAATTATATACATGTTGTTTGACATAATTATTGACTTCAGAAGCAAGGGGATCTATATATGTAGCTAAGTTAGTTTCTTTGTTTAAAAAACCTCCTTTAACCATATCAAACAAACATTCCAAATCACTGTTTATCATAAAAGCTTGCATTTTTTAATAAAATTGTGCATTCTTGTTGTCTTGCAGTTTTCAAGTTAAAACCAAAAAACAATGGAAACAGTTTTCAGACTATGAATTCTCATGACTATCTAAAAAAGACTTTTTAATTGATTTTAGTTTCTTCAACTATGTTCTTTTCAAAATAAATTCGAACTTGTTTGGCTTTTGTTGTTACTTGTTTTTTCATTTATTTATATTCTTTAATTAAAGTTTTGTTTAGCCATTTTATTGCACAGCTTGTATACCTCAAGTTCTTTTTTTTTCTGGTTAGTTGTTTTAATTAAATATTCATCCATGGTGTACTTTTTTATTTTTCCTGTTTGTGTTTGTTTTTTGGTATGAACTTATTGCAAAGTTGCTTAAATATATAATGAAAGAATTGTACATTTTTTAAGCTAGGTAGTCTTTCAAATAATTATTTCAATCGACACCTGCTATTTCATTTGTTAATTTTTCATAATCAGCTTTTTCATAGTTAAAAATGTAGTTTTTATTATTTTGCCAAGTATCAGCTAAAATTAAATCAAAATATAGTACATGATGCCCTTTTGAAAGATTACCTAACAGAATTGATCTTTCAAGACTCTTATGCAATCTTGAAAGAAAAATTAAATCTAGAGCATTGTTTGATAAAAAATCTGTTTATTGAAAAGTTGATTTGTTTGAATGCTGAATGAAATATTCATTGTTTATCATTTCATTGAATTGGTGTTTGATTGAGTTAATACTGTTATTTATTGATGTAGCATATCCGCCATTTTATTCGTCTGGCCATTTTATATTAGAGAAATTAAAATCTCCCATTATTAGTAACTCATTGAACTATATTCGACTTGTTTGCATTGCTAAATACTTTGTTTATATTAGTTATGTTTGTAAAATTGTTTGGCCTGAATATGCAACCTATTAAATATTTTGACTTTAAGTAATATACTAATTTACGAGAATTAAAATTAATATAAATACTTGTTTTTAAATAATTTAAAGTTAATGCTGAAAAGCACGCCTTAACACTTTGAAAGCAGAAGTTGAATTTCAAATTAAATTAGGTAAGACATTTAATGTCTCACCTAATTTAAGGTTGTTTAATTTAATTTTAAAATAAAGTAAGACATTTGATGTCTTCATTTTTTATTTTTAACAAATTTTTTTCTATTTAACAGTTGATAGTGAAATTATGTCATCAGTATCTATAAAAAAAAACAATCAAGAACGAAATATTAAATCTGAAAATATTTCCATGTCTTCAATAAGTATTAATGAACACTACCAATTAATGCCACCAAAGTTTTCTAATCCATGTCAAAGCCAATGGAATTTAATTCCACCAGAATTGATGCCAATTTGTCCACTAGAAGATCCAAGATCTTATCACATATATGAAAATTATATGGAAGTATGTTGGTTAATTTTTTGTAAGCTTTATGATTTAAAAATAATTATTTTTTAAAAATATTAATACTCTTGATACTTGCATATAGGCATTAAAAAAGTATATATCTATGCAAGAAAATATAGAGTTTCTTAAACAAAGAAGGTAATAAATTTTTTGTTTTACTTTATTCTTTTTATTTTTAATGAAAAACTAAACCTAATTTTAATTTTTAAGATAAAATAAAGCTATGTGTCAGTGCATCATATATAGTGTTTCAAATTTATTTATTATTTGAATAATTTATCTCATATTTGATTAAAAAAAAAATTTATTTAACTTTAAATAAAAAAAAGTACAACCTATTTTACTTTTTTTTAGGTTTTATAAGTTTTTTTTAAATTTTTGTTTATCTTTTTTAATTTATTTCTTATTATTTTAAAATACTTTACTTATTAGTTATTTATTAAAGGGTATTTTTTTTTCAGTTTGTTTATTTTTTCTTTTTCTACCAAATTTATTTCCATAAAAGCTGTAAACAACATTTAATAGATGTTAACAGAAAATAATGAGAAGAGTTAAGGAGCATGAAAACAATTGACAGAAACCTTAAAAAACTGTATAAGTTAGGAAAACATGAAAATTCAAAATTTCAAAGAAAAAAAAATTCAACTTACTGAAGATGTGAAGCTCAAGTTTGACAGCTAAAGTTGTTCCAACATTTAAAATCTATTTTTTTGACATAATCTATATTTCGACATTGCCAGAAGAAATCTATATTTCTTCTAATAATGTCCTTTTGTTTAAAAGACAAAAGGACATTATTAGAAGAACCAGCTCAAATATGGCAATAGTATTCCATATAAGAACAAATAAAAGCTAGAAAACGAAGTAAGGAGTAAAAAATTGGCAAGCATAACAACAATTAAAATAAAATTTAAATGTAAAGTGATCTTTTGTCTCAAACAATTTCAATAAAAATGTGACCTACACCACTATCGTTTCAAAACCCTTCTCAAATCAAAATCAAAAATGAAATATGATTCAGAAAAAAAAGATTAAAGCAGACATGCAATAAATCTTGAAATGTCTACCTGAATCCAGAAAATTACATAGGAGGTCCAATTTTCAGCTGAGAAATGAAAGACATCAAGAACCATCATGATTAAAATCCCCAAAGAAGTCATCCTTAAGGTCACAAGTAGTGTCATGATAGACTCTGATGAAGTTTAGTAAAATTATAGCATGGTCTAAACTACCATAGGAATAACTAGGAGAGACTGAGAACAAGCTAGTGTTAGAGACAAGACTCAAATTAAGTTGTGAAGGTAAGTGATTAGGGTTGTCTAAAAATTGTGTTGCAAAGTTAATTATCTGAATATCAGATTGAGAAAGATAAAAAAAAATTTATTTAATATAATTAAAAGTCACCAATAACAGCAATATTAAGTAGGTAAATTGATATGAAAATATATTTTCCCGAGTATGTGGCTTCTGGATTTTTTGCAAATCAAAGGGTAATAGTTGAGATCTGAAATTGAAACAGTCATAAACATTTAAATTAGTCTCACAAAGATCGAGTAGGTCTGGTAAAATTTGCAAGAGGTAAAATTCAACAGGTGAAAAGTAACTTTGAAAAGAAAATAATTTTTTAAAGATAAATTAAAATAAATTAGTGATAATTTTTTATATTTAATATTTATAGGTGCAATAGTTCTGTTTTCAATTATTACAGTACTTAACTTATTCATTACTCATGACAGTACTTGACTTATTCATATTTAACCCATGACTCCCATAAATAAGCTATACACTTACCTCAGTTAATCTACTTTAAGTTGTAACAATGGTCTCTTTATGTTGCTTCGTCAACCCATACAAAAGCACTAACATGGACAATATTGCAACATTGATACCGCACAGTTGATACCCAATATTTTATACTTATTAGTTAAAATTTTTTAGCTGTTGATGGAATCAGCCTGTAAGAGCTACAGAGCTGGGCTCAACTATTAAATGTTTTGAAGATGTACCCTCAACGGAGAAAAAAAGTTGTGTAGCACTATCTAAAAGGCGCCAGCACAAACCCATAGGTAAAATCAAGTTCATCATCCTAGACAAAAAACGGTATAACACAGGTTTAAATCTAAACAAGCCTAATAGATAAAAAAAGGTGTGTGAGGCTTGTTACATAAATTTAATTTTTCTTATAGAATTACTCTTTTAATGGAATCGAATTGTTAATATTACATATAAGGAAAAGATTTGTACAGAATAGGACTACCTGAAAATAACTAAACGTGTTTTATTAGTATTTTAATATAAAAATAAGGTCTTCCAAAACATTGCCAACTTTTTTTGTAACTATTTTAAAAAAAATTGCGTACATTTTTGCAGTTGTTGTCTTATTTTAATGTGTTTTGTGCGCTGTTTTGGTAAGAGATCTTTAAAGTATTAGGAATTTCTGGGTATTTCCACCATTAACAAAGTCAATAAAATGTTGAATAATCAAACGACTTAATAAAGGCAGTCCCTTCGAAACAGAACATGCTTTGTTTAAGGTGCACAGGTGCTTATTAACAATTTTTTGTAAATATTTGGTAATGGTTGATTTAACAGATTTTTGAATAGGTTTTAATTTGTGTAACTTTTTATTGGAAAAATCTTTTTTTATTTTTATTTTTTAAAGTGCAATACTAAGAAAAATAACAAAATTAAGTAAAATTATAAGTTTTTTCACTCTTGTAAATGTTGCGGCAGCTAGCTGTTGTACACGCTTGATGTACACATATTTCATCAGGACATAATGTTGTTATTTTTTTGAACATATATTTTGGAGTCACCAGACATAAAGATAAAGTATATGTAAATGGTTTTCTATACAATTTTTTTATCAACCAAAGTTCATTCGCGACACTGCTCCATAAAAGTTTTTTATTTTAAAAATTTGAGAATATAAATAACAGTAACAATTTTGTTTTTGACTGGAAATACTTCTAGATTTATATTTATTCTATATATTTTTAGATATTTAGATAAAATATGACTTTTATTGGTGTATATGAAAGTAAAATTTCTATGTAATTGCGGTAACTATTTAATCAAGCTATTAAGATCTAAGTTTTTTATAGTTACAAATTTTATTCGTGTATTAAAGGTTCGAGTTGTCTATCATATGATGTACAACTAAATTAGAAAAAAAAACCTGAGTTCAAAACTGTTAATTGAAACTAAATAGGTACTACTGAAGCCCTTCTTCTTCCATTATATAAAGAAAATCAATCATCAACTCAAAACCATGATAGTTTTTAGTTAGAATCACGTGATCAAGCATATCAATCGAGTTTCGAAGAACTATAACTCAAGCAAATAAACGACTTTTAAACGTAACAGAATTCAGTTTCGTTGAATAAGAGCTTGCTTATATTTAAACGTAACAGGATTCAGTTCTTCGAATAATGTTGATATTCAATAAAAATAAAATTAGTATTAAGTAATTTACATTCATGTTTTTATTTCTTATTTTATCTCTTATTCGACAGGTGTTGAATACATTTTGTTTTAGAAATAAGTAGGAAGTAGAACAAAGAGGGTTTCTTTTAAATGTATAATTATATATTTTTGAATTTATATTTATTTATATATATATGCAATGTGAAATAAATGTTCGATTTAATTGACTAATCTGCTGTTTTATTTCAAGAGATAATTTGAAAAAGAATATAATTGATTTAAGTAAAGAACAAACTAAAAATCCTTGCCTGGCCGACTTCATCGCAGCTCAAGAAAGCAGGGTCAGATATTTTTTTTTGTATTTTTTTTTTTTATTCTTAATTTTATTTTGTTTATTTCGTGTATTCAGTGTTTTTCTTTACTTATTTAGCAACAATTGCTGGATATGCACAAGATGATAAAACCATTGCTAGAAAATGAACGCGCTAAATTCGCTAAAAAGTCTTTAATAAATCGATAATTTTTTTATTAATTTATTTCAATTTATAATTAAAAAGCCTTTTGACTGAAATATTTTTTTTAAATGATACTATTTTTTTTAAATTAAAATATATGGCGAATCAAATATTTATTAAATAACGCTAAGATAACGACGCACTATATTTTTTAAGCTTTATTGATGCTTGTTGCTCGATTAAATTTATTGTAATAAATAACACAGTGTATCAAATGTTTATTTTTGCTTCATCCTTTGGTAAAAAGTGTGTTTTTCTAACCCGTTTAGCCGAAAAGAAATAGAAAATAATTGTTGTTCTTCAATAACTTTGCTTCTGTGACCGGGACAGAGTTATTTTGCAATTAATGTTAATGCAAAGCCAGAGCATAAATATCTATTGCACACAAACAGTACCCTGTTAGAGCCTTCATGCAAAAATTAGCTTTAGCGATTTAAAACTACTTAACGGGCACCTCATATCTGGATGTTTTTTTTTCCTAAAAAAATATTATTGATTTTGAAAACTTTAACTCTTTTATTTTAAAGTATAAAAATTTAGTTATTGAATTATTCTAAATTTTATTTACTGCTAGCTCTTTATATTATTTCTTTTTTTTTTAATATATATATACATATATATATATATATATATATATATATATATATATATATATATATATATATATATATATATATATATATATATATATATATATATATATGTATATATATATATATATATATATATATATATATATATATATATATATATATATATCAATCAATATATTTTTTTTCTGAAATATTTGGTATTACATTTCAAGGTTGCTTACAAATAGTATAAACTACTAATATTAAGTAAACACCTAATAACAATGATTAAAATAGTTATAGTAATAATAACAATAAAAATATTTATAATAAAATAATGATAAATAATAAATAATAATTATTTATTATAAATAATAATAATAAATAATAATAACAATAATATTAATAACATGTTACTTTAAAAATAGTAATATTAATAATATAGTAAATACAAATATTATTGATTTTGAAAACTTAAACTCTTTTATTTTAAAGTATAAAAATTTAGTTATTGAATTATTCTAAGTTTTATTTACTGCTAGCTCTTCATATTATTTCTTTTTTTTTTAATATATATATATATATATATATATATATATATATATATATATATATATATATATATATATATATATGTGTATATATATATATCAATATATTTTTCTTCTGAAATATTTGGTATTACATTTCAAGGTTGCTTACAAATAGTATAAACTACTAATATTAAGTAAACACCTAATAGCAATGATTAAAATAGTTAACTATTTTAACTTTTTAACTATAGTTAACTATAATTAACTATATTTTTTAATTAACTATAGTTAACTATAATTATAGTAATAATAATAATAAAAATATTTATAATAAAATAATGATAAATAATAATAATAATAGCAATAATAATAATAAATAATAATTACTTATTATAAATAATAATAAATAATATTAATAACATGTTACTTTAAAAATAGTAATATTAATAATATAGTAATTAATATAAATAATATAGCAATTTAAATAAATCGGTATAATTTTCTATACAACAATCGCTTATACATACAAAGTTACAGTTACAAACATTAATAAACTGACAAAACGTAACAACTAACGATGACATAAAAACAACTATTGCTAAAAAAAACTATAATAATTTTAGTAATTATATTAATCATAGCTCTTATAATATCATAACCATATATATATATATATATATATATATATATATATATATATATATATATATATATATATATATATATATATATATATATATATATATATATATATATATATATATATATATATATATATATATATATATATATATATATATATATTTGTTAATGAAGTTGTTTATGGGTTTCAATTATTTAAATATTTAGTTTTAGCTTATATAAAAGGTAATGGGAAATAAAAATGAAAAAAAGAACATTCTCTGGAAACAAGTTGCAAATACTAAAATATTAAAAACAAATTTAAAAAAAATTTTTATAGTCCTTATGTCCTGTAGAACCTGAAAGTCGAAAATATCAGAAATTGACCAGGGAAATGACAAATATAAACCAAAAGTTTATCCATCTTTATGGGTCCATGATATTATATTAAGTAGTTTCAAAGATTTTAGTGTTGACCAAATATTGAAAAAATGTTTTAATGAAAAAAATACAAAATTGCAATTAAGGTATCAATAATGTAATTTGGTCTAAGTGCCACAAAAATGTGTTAGTGAAAAAAGGTACCATAGAAATTGGAGTGAATTCAGCTATATTGAGTTTTAACAAAGAAAAATCTGGTCTTGAACGTGTTTTTGAAAATTTTAATATACCACACAGTGATAAGACTGCAACTGGTTCATTGGGAAAAAGAAACAGTCATCGTGTTAGTAATAAGAAATGATAATAAGGAAAAAACTTTCTATAATAAAAAAACTTAATTAAAAGGGTTGTCTGAAGGGTGTTTGATAAAGAGCAAGAACTTGAATCTAAAAAATCGTATTACTTTTGGAAGTTTTTAGACTAAAATGTTGTTTCCTTAATTTGTCATTTTTTTGCTATTTACCTTTACGTAAAACAAGATATTTCCAGATTGGTTCAAGATCTGATATGGTGATATGATATAAAGATCTGGTGCTAAAATTTTCAGTATTAGCAGTAATTACTTAGATCTGGAGGCTGAACTAAAATCATAACATAAGGTGTTATACTCACAGTGTTATTACTCATTGTTAATGATTTTTTCATGTAAACCCCTAAAAGGTGGTATTAAATTTTAAAAACTGACATTTCTACTATTGCAATGAACATTGGATATATATATATATATATATATATATATATATATATATATGGATATAAATATATATATTGGATATATATATATATATGGATATATATATATATATATATATATATATATATATATATATATATATATATATATATTATAGTTTCGGAACTAGATAATATAAAGCGAGATTAACTGTGCAAAATTTCAAGAGAAAATGATGTCTTATTTAAAAGTTTTCTATTTCATCAATAGAAAACAAAAGAAAACAGTAAAAATCTGTTTTTGAAAGTTTTCAGGAAATATTTATTTATTAAAAATTTCATCATTTAAAAAGCATTTTAGACCAAATAAACAAAGGTTTAGTTGGATGTCTTTGCTTTATTATAATTTTTTTTTTAGTAATAACACTCCCCAGACAGCAAGCTTACATTGGCCCAACGTAAGTTTTAACATTGGCAAGTTTATTCCGTTGGGCCAACATTTAGCCAATGTTTTTTTTCGACGTACTATTTTCAATTCTGCAAATCGGTTTTTTGCAAATATCGTACTATATTGGGCCAACATTTAGCCAATGTTTTTTCTTCGGCGTAATATTGTAATTCAACAAATCGGTTTTTTGTAATTATCGTACTACGTTGGGCCAACATTTGGCCAATGTAGTTTAGGCTTAATATTTTGCTATAAAAATCTGTTCTTACATTTAAGCCGTAGCCAATATTCGGCCAATGTAGTTGCGGATTAGTAAATATTTTTAAAACATTTTTAAAAATGGTATCGTTTGACAGAATAAAAAAAGGTTTTGATATTATCTTTCCATTTTTTTAACTTATATATATAAAAAAAAAAGAAGCTATATTTATGAATCTTCTAAGAATCTTAAAAGGTTCGTTATATGAAATAAATTTCAAGAGATTCTCGTGACTTAATGTTTTTTTTTTTTTAATAATGAAATATTTGTTAACAGTTAAATAATATACTTGAAACATTTTTTACTACAATGTAAATTATTAATGTAATAATAAAGGTAATAATTAAATTATTTTTGTGTAAGATCTTAAAGTTATTTTTTATAATTGTTGCTGTATTAGCATTTCAAATGTTTGATTTATTTAATAATCTTTATTAAATAAATGTAACATTTCAAATGTTCGATTTATTTAATAAAGAAGACATTTTAAATTCTTCTTTATTAAATATATCAAAAATTTGAAATGTCATATAGTGTAAGTATTGAAAAAAAAATTTTTTTCATAATTTATTTATAATAGTTTAGATTATATAGCTATTATAAGATATATTATTAAAGGTATCAGTAATATATATGTGGCATTGAAGTTGTTAGAAGCTGATATTTTACATTTTAAGTATGTCTTTTTTGTTTAATTGTGAAACCCCATCTACTAAAATATTAAAACAGTGTACAAAAAGTGATGTTATTAGAATTTATATTCTACTTATGTAGAGCTTTCTAATATTGCCAGACATTTTGTTTTAAGACCAATGACTAGTCTAAAATAATTTATTGAATTATGAGATTAAATCAATAAATAATCATTAAAATCAATTAAAATAAAAAGACTCAATTTAAATTATTATTTTTATTTGTCTGATTTAAATCATGATTTAAATTGAAACAACCCTTTATATATTCCATCTTTCTGAGGCAGAGGGACATTATTCTTATTTTTATAATTTTTAATTTAATATCTCTGGATATTTTTCATAATTAGTTTGCGTAATGCAGTTAACAACTTTAAGCTTATACATTAACTTTCGTTATAACTTAGTTATTAATAATTTGATTTATAGATTTTTATAGCAATACAAGATTGAATTTAGCAGAAGGCTAAACTTCTGCTCTGGAGACAAAAAAAGAAGATAGCGAAAATAACCAGCCAAAATAAAGATTAAAGAGACATTTAGTTACAAAAAACTGGCCAGGTTTTTTAGTTGTTTTAAGTTTATGAACCTAACAAAAAATTTTTGTTGGATTTCAAAGTTGGTGCCACTAACTTTAAAATCTATTTCAAATCAACTGCCGAAAAAAATAACAGAGTATTCAGTTTAAAGTTTTAACAGTAACATATCAGTTTAAAGTTTTAACAGTTGCTGGTGGTTTATTATTATTTATTATATAAACGTTTATTTAAATTTATCTAATAGACAAAGGTAATACGATATTTTTATAGATGATATTATTTTTTAAATTGTATT